GTATGCACAGTGCTACATGCTACATTGACGTTCCTGCATTATTTCAAGATGCACGATCATCAGACTTCCAAAAATTTGTTAGAGCTAGTGCTCAACCGAGACGCAAGCTTCGCACCGTATAATCATTCGTTCATCCCCAGTCATTTACATTTACTTGTTGAAGGGCCGTGGCCATATGTGCCGAGTCCAGCCTGTTTCCTAAGCTCCCTTTGCTTGACCTGATGGATTAACTCTAAGCTTCTTCAAAAGCGGAATCGATTCCTGTACAACATTTTCAGAAATTCTACTTGAATTCTGCACGTTGTACCTTTGTTGGATATTGACATAAACTACGTAGCTGTCCTCCGTAGCTCAATGATTCGATGGGGTCCCACTAAGTGCTAATACTGTTCATGCAAAACTGTACTGGTTTTATCTACGAAGAAGGTAACTCTTCAACATGAGATAGATGTTGGTGTATTGCCTTTCATGAATCGTTGGTGTGTAATTTCGACCAAGTAAAAGTGTCACTAAAGAATCTGAAAATCGCCAAGAAATGGCAACGTAACGTGAAGGGCACGACGTCCGTTTTTGACTTTCCGCGAAGGATCGTCCTTATTGATTCATAATCAAATGTTCAGAAAACACTGAATGAACTGAATACTAACCGAATAAAAAATCAATAGTAAAATTCGAGATTTAATTACTATTTTTTACGGCATTTGAATGAAACTTTGGGTATCCACATATAAATCTGTTTCCTCATCCATACTGATCGTTGGGGGGCGTGGTGCTTCAAGCTATCTCAATGGCGATAACTTTCGATATAAGACCGTGGGGAAGTTAGTATGGGCAACAATGGCAATATGCGGGCGGTATTAATGGTGGCACATGCATTTGAAGACTGCCATAAAAGGTGCCATTTTCATTTAAAAACGACACTAAGCTTTAGATTGCGCTGGAGAGACTGCAAGGCTGGCGTTAGCGATGTTAATGTCCGCAAAGCTCCTGGCGCCTCCTAGGCATGAGTCCTGAAAGTGCCCTATATATTGCGTAGCGCCGGTAAGATAATAAATTGACTATATGTTAGAGAGAATGTGCTTGGTATAATGCGCAATTGGAATAGTTTTTTGTCTCTGTCTCAAACAAATGATATTTTTGTTCTTTGTCTCAAACCTTTCTCAAACGATCAAAGTTAGCTAGGTAGCGTTTCTCAGGGGCTTGGGAACTTTTATTCCTACGATTTCGGCTATTGCAAGGCCGAGACCGTCTTCTGGCCCATGTCAACAAGAAGAGGGGTTCATCAATGTGACCAATGTGGAGGGTGAGTCATATTCGAAGTTTCCTGACGGAAACAGAAACGGAGCGCGCTTTTCTCGATATTGGAAATTCGTAACTGTTAAGGGACATCAACAAGTTCGTTGCTACTTTCAAACAATCATATTGTTCCAACAAAAACAATCATCACATATGTACCAGCACTTCATCAGTGAGGTGTTGGCAAAGAACTCACGAAGTTTAGATCCTTGTTTCCCAGAACGTCGGCGTTTCAAATTCGGATTTCTGAGTTCTTGTTTGTATCGTTTCGTCGCAACATGAATGCAAAATCAAAGAAGGATTTTTTGATGTAGGCTGATCTTTCGCTGCATTGGCGTGATGCTGAGTAGAACAACTCAACTAATCTTCAAAATCCAGAGTTTGTCATTCTCGAAACACACTCTTAAGTTGCCGTAGACGCGTACATACTTTTTCGAGTTTTGAGCGTTTTAGACAGACTTTCCTCATTAGCCTTGGCGTCCGATTACAGCACCTAGCTTGCTATAGGCTTGAGCTAGGAAAAAGTTCTTAATGATGAATTGCGAGCTCTTTGCTACATGCGGAAGCCTTCTGCTGAATTGTGGTTTGTCAGCTTCTCCCACCACTGGTGCTTCTGCATTTGTTTAGTATAGGAATCGACCATTTCTCATACAGTGTTTGCGTCGGCCTAGCCGCATATGGATGTAAATAAGATAGAGGTGTGAGCTCTAACTGATAATGGTTGTTCTAGATCAAAATTTATTCCATAGGCGGTCGAAACTTGTGATATGTTAGGGTCTATGGGAACACCTCCTAACACATCCGAAATTCAGTTTCGGATTCTGTAGCATATATGCACATAGTCGTTAAAGGAGTGCGGTTATCCCTAGCGTCATCCGGTCCTATCCTAAGTATTCTTACAATTACCTTGAATTTTGATTACCAGAATTTTGTAAAATATAGTCTAAGAACAACTCGGCAAAAAAAACTCTGTTTATGAGATAGTTTTTGTTTCGCATTCGCGTTAAGGTCCTATCAAACTTTTTTTTTTCTGTATAAAGCTTACTGCTATGTCCGGTATAGCGCATCAACTTACGTGCATCCAATAATAAATAATAAATAACTAGGCCTTGCACTCGCTGTCATTTACTAGTTCAGTCCATGAAGATTTCTTCTTGTATCTTCAACAATTTCGAGCCAGACCGCTGTCAAAATGCTGTGGCTGGATTACACAGCAAGTTTGTCAGGGTTATGCTTTAATGGTTACTTCAGCGTCTAAATCCGACATCGGCTGCCTTCCTGTAGCAGGGTCATCATCCAGAACGCAGTGTTCTGAGCATACAGGACCTGATAATTCTGATATCGCATAGTGGACGAAGACAAAGGGGTGTATTGCATGGCAAATGTTACTCCTGGCTTCGACCTGTTCATGGCTTAGTAGAAGCTTTGAGAAAAGAAGAGGCAGTTTTTTCACGCCGTCTTAGTCCAAGCGTGAGAACGGCTCTCTTCTTTTTTTAAATCTTGAACTCGAGAAGAGCAGATAGGGCTGCGTGATTCAGCCATAGACTACTTTAGGTAATCTGCTCTTGGAAGCATATCTGAAATTATTTTTTGCTGAATAGAATTCCGGCGTGAGGTGCGAAAAGTGGCACGAACTTTAAAGACAATCTAGAAAAAATCTCACGAAAATGTGAGATGAGTAGCTGAGGTTCCGTGAGTTACATAAACCTCAACCCTCCCCCTATAGCTCCTTGCTGGCGTACACTTGAACTATAGTACTAGGGACGGAGTTCAAGCGGATCATTTATCGGCAGGCTCAACGCCACTATCAACAACATCAACCGTTGAAGGGCAGGGGGGGGGGGGGAGAGGGAAGCTGATCGTGTTGTGAACTTCTCCAAGTAGGGTGTCTTTCGATTTCAAAACTTGTTCTCCCGGTTGCGTAGTACCAGTCCCGTTTGGGAGGAGAAAAATGTTGATTCATACATCGGCTTGCTTTGCAAGTCCCTGAGCTTGCTGCACCACGCTTGAGTGCTTTCGCGGCTCAGAGCAGAATGCATGCGCGTGGCGCATTCCAAAAAAGGGAGACATAAGTTTCGTCCTTAACTCTCAGAGATTCATTGGTTCTGTCGATTGTTCTGGTGACTATCTCAAATGGAGGCAACGTCATTCCTCTATTTACTGCCCGACACTGCAGAAGTGACAAAATTCAGGCTGATACGAGAAGTTTGCTGGGGAGAACTATAGCCTAGGAGCCGCCACAACTAGCAATTATCACTGGACGGAAGTTTGCTAAATGCAGTACCACACTACAGGGCGGCCAAAGTACTGACAGCTGTAAGATTCTTCGCCTTCCCTCAAGAGAGGGGAGAAATCCTCAAGAATTTTGCATGATCGGCTGGGAGAAAGGAAATCCTCCCTGGAATATCTCTCATATTCGATGCGGTTTCCTTCATGTTGGCCCCACAGTCGAAAACAGGGGAGACAGCACCGGTGGTATGTTCTTCTGGGCGACGGAGGCTGTGGTCGTCTAATTCGACTCATACTGTTTTGTGGAGGCTATACCAGCAGGTTGAATCATTGGATTTGCTGTGAATTAGTAGGCCTGCCAATTCCGCTCGGCCTTGCTGGACGAGCTGTCACAGAACTTCACATCTGGCCATGGTTTTTGGCCGCATCGGCGACACAGCTAGACTTCACTCCTCTTCGTTGCTGTTGTAGTCAAAGCCAATCGGTTAACAATCTCATTGGTGCTACCTGTGAGGGTGTGCATCCCCGGTTAATATCTTACTTCGGAGCTGATCCGTACAGCAGGATCGGTGGCATGTGAGGTGCGGTCAATGCAATAGTGATGTCAAAACGTCTCGCAGCAGCCTCCAAATATCTCTGATCTCAACCTGTGCAACTATTCCATTTGGATTGCCGCAAAAAGCTAGGCTCCCGCTACAGATCACGATGAAAACACATATCTCTGAAGGCTGTTCTCAAGAAAGTACGGCGCGCCTTTGTAACGATACTGCGGCCAGAAGCGGATGCACTCCACACTTTAATTGTCAGCGTAATCGAGCTATGGATAACCGTACCAATTTTAAAGGCATTAGGGTACTTAAGGAAAGGGTTATTTGTTGGTCACTTCCACATCAAGTTCAAATCCGTGCTGCGATCATTTTCACCTTTTAGTATAGCAGTGCTTTGTCAAGTGGTCGGTATTTTTGCTGCACCCTTTTCAGTTATTAGCAGCTGAAAAATGAAATGAATGGTTCGCCAGTAGCAGAAAAGATAGTACATTGTCATAAGTACGGATCAAGCAAAGGAAACTTTCTACTCCAACTTGGGTGTTAGGTTGTGGGTAATGCGCTCGACGGGTATTCCTCGCATCTGCTCGACATCTTGAGTATAAGTCTAAATGTCCTTATGCTTTGGGGTGAGGAGAGAAAGATGCACCTCATAGGGCTAGTTAATCTCGAATATTTTGTTGTCAGTTCTGTCAATAAAACTTAGCAGGTGATTAATAGTTGACATTTTCGACTGAAAAGCCCAGAGTTCATTCAGCTTACACTTTAGGCGGAAGGCTTATGTTGGAATTAGTACGATTTGTGTATTCAAAGTGCTAATGGATGACCTCTCATTTTTTTCTATCATGCTCCTCGTCTTTCGAATAGTCACTCCTGCACTTACGATTTTTCATTGGTTATTGGAAAAATCTATTCGACTTCGTGTTTCAGGAAATGCGGACCTTTTGGGGTCGAAAGGGTAAGCCGATCACTCTACCATGCACTTTACCCGTACCCGACGACACAAACTTTTCACTCGAATGGAGGAAAGAGAACAAACTCATCATGAGCGCATATGGATCTGAAGCCGGTCATGCAGCACCGTCTTTACAAGGTAATAATTTTCACAGGCGTTACTTTGTTATTAGTAGTCAATTTTCTGTTGTCAGGAAAAATATAGCAAAAAAAACAAATATCTTAGAATAGCTGTAGCCCTGAACAATTTTGAAAAATATCGATGTTACATGATTTAATAAGTTTGATCATTCATTTATTCATTCATTTTTCATTTTATTACATGCCATCAAAATACAGCGGCGCTGCGGCAAAAGCGATAGTGTCCGCAGTATATGAAAATTGAGCGTGCAAAAGAGACGATGCAGCGCGAATATGGTGCCTTGTATTCGTGCATCCTGCATTACGGAAAGCGCGAATAGTACGCGATCGTGAGAGAGAGATTTCAGGGGCTCCAAACCAAGTCATTAGGGCGGAAGTGGTGTATGTAGTTTCAAGTGGCACTGCTTACCATGCTCATGGTCCGAGAATAAAATCTAGGATCGTACGCGGTCCAGGTCAACTGAGCCCTTCACCATTGCGGGCCGATAACTTGCTATCAGGCTTGTCCGGGAAGGTAAAAAAAAACTAATTTTTAAGTGGCTTCCCCCCACTTCCTCGGATCACTGTATGAGCCGAATCAAATGCCACTGTAATCCCAAATTGAAGTAGAATGCGTGGCGTATCGCGAAAACGGATTGATTCAACCCGAATGAGCTTTTTGCCGCGCTATTATGCTACTAGGACTGCCATGTGCACAGTTTTGTCGAGAAGCCATAGGTGGGTGAAGTGGGATAGGGACCTATAAAGGTACAGCGGACGCGTCCATTAGGATCCCACAAGGATCACCTAGAATGTTTATTTTTCGGTTTTCCGACGTCTTACTCCTCATTCAGACGTTCAAAAATCGCCGTACTTCACACCTTGTTGGCCTGTAGGCAAGCTCGCTACATTGTCTCGAATTGCGACCGCATTTTCGCATGCGAAGAACTCTTCCCAGGATTCGCAACAGGGATTTTGAAAAATTCGAATAATTTGGATAACCTAGTCTGAGTCAGTACTCATACATGCTCTGCAATAATAAACTCCGTTGGGTTAGATCCCGTTCTTGTAAAGGGTAATGAGAAATCGACGAAGAACGGACTACAGCGGCATAGAATATCACTGCTCCGCACGTATCTCTCATCCCCAGTGAATGATAAGAACAGCAAGTTACTTCCGCATTTTACTATACATCAGGTACAAATTCATTACAATCGGTGAAATTTTAATTTACAACTAAACAATTGATTCATCACAACGCTATACTGTCCCGTATACTATCTACAATATTCAATAAATAAATTAGAATTATATTTTTACAGTAACAAATATTATAGAATATTAAACCCGACACTTTGGTTTACATTGCCACATTGTTACCATTGTACTTGATTATAAGGTGGGTAGTGAATGTGATTATTAGGGTCTACTGTACATTAATAGGATCAATACTTGTAACAAAAAATAACAAATAATAATATAAAGACCCGTTTGCGGTGATTCAAAAAAAAACTACTACTTTCCAGGCTATCTAATAATGTTCGATTTTAATTAATTTCGCGCTGAATCGATCGTTTTACTTTTTTGGCGACGAAAGAATGACGATATCCCTGATATGATGTTGTGTGCGTTTCCACTATATGATTGAAGAAGTGTAAGGCGTCGTGTGAGGCGAATCGTAGTTCCGTAGGACGTGCAGAAATCGTCGTATGACGAAATGTAGTTACTGTAAAAGATGAATAATTCACGTGGAATGTTCACAATAGCTTCGGGCTTAAATGGTTGAAAATTCCAAGCTTTTATAACATCCTATGACTCATTAAAAACCATTCTAAAGCATTACAATTCATCAGCGGTAGTAAAATGACTGCTGATTTGTTTTTAGCATCCAAGCTATACTATTGTGCTACAATTGCACAATTTTTAAATGAAAAGACAACAAGAAATTGTGGTGTCCTAGTGGATGAGGACGCCACAACGTTATTCGAAGCACACTCCCAGATAGAATTTGTTGGGTCACAGCGATTAATAATGAAGTACACCGAGTTGACTAAAAATGAAAAAAGAATCAAAGGAAACCGTCGATGGGGCCCTATACAAGGATTCTTCTTGAAACAAGGAGGGGCGGGGCCGGACAAGTTGTCCGAATTTGGCCGCTCCATGGCTCATCTACTACTGTATTTGAATTAGTCGCTACGCCGTAATCCACGTTGCGTGTCATGGGATGTGCGCTACTCAGCACGTCCAAATGCTAAGATTAGTCAAATAATGCTGACTTTGTAATGCTCAAGCGCCCTTGTCGCACAGTTCTGGGACTTACCGAGAGAGGAACACCCGCTTAATGGCGGAAAGTTCGCACAAATAAACTTACTAATTACTAATAAACTCAGAAAATAAATCGTCACAAGGCAAGGCGAGGTACTCTAGATAAATTAATGAAGCAAGTCGTAAGACTGATGTCAGACTTTGCGAATCGCGCGATTCGTTAGCGTCTGCAGTCGCGTCGCGGCCAGTGAATCCCTCAATTGGCTGGTACCGCAACGCGACCGCAGACGCGAGCGAATCGCGCGATTCGCAAAGTGTGACATCGGCCTAACGCAGGTCACTGGTCAGTGTGCGTACCAAAGAGGCGATTTCCGAGTTTCGCACGGTCTTAGTACTGAAGTGTGTGCATGCGAATGGTGACTATATCGATAATTCATAGTAGAAATATTGATTCATTCGAGCGGATTTGGTATGGTGACAAGAAGGGCCGCTACCGCGCGCATGGTACCTGGATGAAACCTCAGGTAAAATGCACCGTACGCCAGCCAAATTGTTATAGATGATCAGCTCTTGTTAGAGATGATAGCTACTACGCAAAACATATTGCTAACTTAATTTCAAAAAGGTCGTAGTCCGAGGGTAGGGCGATAGGTGGATCGAACACCGCTGAGACCCACCAATCCTTTAAACTATCCCGTGGTCGTCAGCTGGTGCCTTCTCCTCTAGGATAGGCAAAAACATTCACCTTATACACCAACAGCACGCTGTGTATCTATCACGAAGTCCCTATGATGCCTCTATGACGTCGAGATAAAGTCGATGCGTTGACACATCCTAACCGCGGCTTAATGGCCCATCAAGTGCTCTCATGTATTAAGAAGTAACCCTTTCTGCAGACCCAGTCATCGTTTTAGGCGGTTCGTGAATACTACATACGGCTTCGTTTGCCCTCTGGAGGTGTATCCTTACGCCCCACCTCCTTCTCGGAATGCTTATTTACTATACTTAAACCTAATCCTGTCCGACACGCCCTTACATCTCCAAAAGTTTGTGTAACAAGAGCAATTTTTCAAATTGGTAGGAATTGCAGCTTCTTCAAAAAAAGCGACGAATTCAAAAGGCAAAAAACTGCCCTTGTTGTCTTTCGAAAATGCATACTTACCACCCTTTCGAACGAGCCGAACTCGTTGAACTTCGCGCAGCGGATGGATTTCGGCTTCATTGGGTTCGAATATGGAGGAAATTGGAAAAACCACCGTTCTCGTATGGCACTGGTGCGCCACGAAATTCGGCTGTCCTTGTTAAGGGAACCAGCCGGCAGTAAATAATCATGAAATTGATTACTGCGACCTCAGAAGGTGAACGAAATTTGCTAGAGATTTCTCCATAAGGCAATTGAGGGCCCTGCAGAATGCCACAATCGTTTAAAGGCACGTGCTGGGATCAGAATGGTGCGGTTCTTGCACATGCATGCGAAAGGATAGGTGCGAAGTGGCCGGCAGTGAAGAGAAAAGTAAATGAATTTGTCGAAAACGCCGAGGTTAAAGTCCTGCGCACCTTCCTGACACAGATGTGTTAGGCAATGAGAGAGTGAGGAGAGTATGCGGTGAGAGAGTGCAAAAGACGAGAGGGCACCAAACAACGGCCCATAGCGGATGGGGAACACTGCAGCTGTTGCAGCTAAGTTTGCAAGGCCTTAACGCTTTTGTCGGGTGAGTCCCATGCACGATAGTGCCATAACTATAAGTGCATTTTAGGGTGTCTCCTTGCAGACCAAAAAAATCGTTCACACACCTTATGCCTGAGTTGTGTCTTTAAGGCGTTGTTTGACTCGTTACAAACTCATTTAAAGGTAGGGGTTGTTCTGTGCCTCGAGTTAACCAAAGAACAAAAGAAAGGGTTATTCCATTTCGTGGTTATGGATCCTACACCAATCTTCGTTTATAACGAAAGGTGTTGGAATGATATCGTGGAAAGACTTAAGGGATTTGGAGAAGAAACATTGATTCGCCTACCTGGTGTCAAACTGTGCTGGTGCCATGAGCTTTGTGTTTTTAATCAAGGCCATCAGTTACATTTTTTCTATGGATTAATTTTGAATTTTGGTTTTGAAATTTTTTGCAGAATTGATTCGGTAATAGCAATCCAATAGAACCAACGTTTTAGAATTGCAGTTTTAGCACTTCTGATTTAGCGTCACCTTTTGCACAGGCTCAAATAAGAAGAATTTCAGGATGATTCTTCGCTATGACTATTTCGTGTTCAGTTACATACAAATCTGAGAGCAGAATAATAGAAAATGAAATGGCGTAAAATGGATCAGAATCCTTAGATATGTCTAATGAAAAGGAATTTCATTCAAGTTTCTCTAATATAGTCCGCAGATGGCATTGAATTTTCCAACCTTCTGTGCACATGCATAGAAATCGGTCAAAAGGCCTCCACCTAATCTTTTGTGCGCATCGAAATACTTGCAAGCCTTTGAGGACGGAATAGTCCGTCCAGGGTTGCAGCATAGCGAATATCTAGCAAAGCAAATTTAATTATTCAGCAAAGCATTAGCAGAAATATATATTAGGTTGGAAAGAAAGTCCTGCAACACTTTTTCAAATTTTTGCTTTTGATTTTATCTTTTTTGTTTACAACTCCACCGGTCATATACCTACCATGAGTGTCCACCACTTGTCTTCAACGCTCAGAAATTTTTTGATGCTCCTTTGCCAAAACCCAGCGGAGTGCGGGTCGAGAAAGGAGGCGACCTCACTTTCGAGTTGGAGTTGATGGTCTAATTATTTCGTCATCAAGATGCTGATTTAAGGTCTAGGATGGGTGGCAGTCATTCACAGCTCGACCAGTGGAATACGCTAAGAGGGGTAAGAAATCTTGCCGCACTCCAGAATCTCTTACCGGGCTCATTCCGGATCATGGTGATTTGCAATGTCATGAAAGAAATAAACATTGTCGCGGCCCGAGGGCTCCTGACGAGCTGCCTCGGCCAGCTTCTGGATTTCCACAGCCTAGATCTCTACCCACACAATGGTACCCATAACGAAGAATTCGTTGTTGGGCTTTCGTAAGAGCCTTATCTATAATGGAGTGTGCAGGGGGCTGCCGGCCCTTTATAAGAATATCAAAAGAACGAAAGCGCTGGTGAAGCTGAAACACGTTGTAGCGGTGAACGACATCCTTATTAAAGCTATTGCGGATACTGTTGGTCTTTGACACAAGTCTTTTTTGAATTTTCTTGGATAACTACTGACTGCAGCAGTTATATCCACCTCGTAGATTGAAGCCTCATGCTCTACATTTGTTAGTCATAAATGTTACCTACGAATATTTCAAAAAAAAGAATTTTTAAAAAGAGTGTTGCAGGACTTTCTTTCCAACCTAATAGCAGAGCGAATTCACCCATAGAAAACAGTAGAAACTTGGTCATTTATGAAGAGACTTTTCATTTCTTCTTCCGGGTTAACTTGGTTTCCTGTGGCGAATTTTCACCAATGCGTGCGCAGAAAACGGATGCCCACAACACGAGTCCAATGTCCACCAAGTAATCACTTTAATCGCTCCTATTAATCACATCACACTTTTTTTTACAACGTTGTATGACTGGCCTTTGATCATCTCTTTCCACAGATTGAAATCACTGTTGAAAGATGGATGAGGTCGTTTGCTTGGTGTTGCATCGTAAGACTGCACAAATGCACAGACCTACTGCAACACTCATTACTTTGGTTTTTGGCCGTAGAGGTTTTTTTCAAAGCCTGAATAAAAATGTGAAATTTTTTTCGAGAGCCAAACTCCTCAGCAAATGTGATGAGAACAAATTGAGCGTGAAAAACAGTTGCATTAAGAATTTTTCGAATTCAGAGTTATTTTGTAAGTAAGTTATTTTTCAGAATTATTTTCTTCCCGAAGTTAGCCTGGGTTTCCCATTTTTGTAGAAAATTCGTTGCTTGCTCTGTTGTTCGAAGCTTCAGAGAAATAGCTCTGATTAATTTCTTATTTCTCAATTTTTTTCCTTTTTGAAGTAATCAGAACTTTGTTTTACTTTCTATTCGAGTTTCGATAAACTAACGCTATCTTAGAAAATCTAATAATACTCTCTAACAGAACCACTGTTGAGTTTAAAATGGTTCTTCTTCACAGAAGTAGCAAAAATTTCCTTTTTTCTTCTTAATATTTGAGGATAGTTAGCGATTTCTAGATAATTCAAGTCCAAGACCTCTCAGTCATAAAAGTGGAAGTAATGGAGGAGAGTTTGTAAAATTCATGTCACTTACTCGCTTTGAAATGTTCCAGTCAATCGTAGTTCCCAACCCACTCATTATCCTCGAAGGCTATACGATTCGCCGAGGCGGCGCCATATGCGTTTACTGCAAGGATCATGATCTGAAATTAAAAACAATGAGAAACAATATTAATACCCAAAAATACAATATCAGTGTTTTCAAAAATTAAATTTTCAAAAAAAAGTACCGCATATCCGTTAGTATGTACCTCGTCAGCATTTTTTATTCGAGCCGTCGTTTTTGTGACCGAAAAGGATTTCCAGGCTCCTTTTCTTCTCCGATGATATACGTGATACACCTGAATTTTTTTCCAGTGTACATTTGTAAATAACCAGTGTCCGATTTTGGATCAGATGACATGGTCCTTTAACAAAACAATAGAACTGGACGCAACTGCACGAAAACAACACACTTGACGGCTATTTTATGAAACAATTAGTCCACCTCAGCTTTGTCGCTCGTTCCCAATTAAGTACAGTTGTGTCGCCTTCGGTTCGTATTTGAAGGTCTGAGACCGCTTCCGGACGCATGTTGATTGCTTCCATTTGACACTGACGGATCTGAATGTGCTACAGTTAGAAGAACGCGTCCAAGCCACCGTTCTTGTACCATGAACGTGATCAAACTCACGTGGTTTTCATGTTCCAGGCAGTTGTAACCATCCAGCGTTGTCAGCTCGTAATTGCTGTCACACATTCCAAGGCAGTGATATGGTATCTGGAACGGGAATATCTTGGAAGTGTACATGAAAACGCTTAGGAACAAGGGATATTCGAGCAGTACCCCTCCGTTTCGAAGAGGTTTTCTTTGCGGGCGAGGAATCGGTAAAAATGTTGAGCTCAGCGCTCCAGATCTCACTCTTTCCCATCATTAAAATATTTTAGCTCAATAAATCAGCATACAAACGTAGATGGAAAAGTACTCGAAACAACAAAATATTCTCCGCAATTTTCCATACTTAGTCAAAATACACAAGTAATTGGAGGCTATTTCAATACTGAGGCAGTGCATTTAAAACCCGTCAGGCATCTTTTTTGGTTATGAACGAAAGCATGCCCTAGCGGGGAGGGAAAGACTTCAGTGAGAATTAGCGATTTTCGTTTTCCCCGCATTTTCTGCCACTCTCCACTAAGCTTGATCCTAGGGTTTGCTCCCGCACCTCGATAGCGCCAATAATTGAGCTCTGAATTCGGTAGTCGATCTTAGATTTCGCTTTTTTGCTTTTTACAGGGCAACAGATCGATATACAGATTACTCAAATATTCAACCCGAATTCAGGTTGGTACGAAACGGTACAAATTCAAAGAATATGTTACCATAATTTTAAGGAACTAGAAAGATTTTATTTACCTTTTTCCGAATACAGCATGCGGCGCTATTCATTTCACTGAGCGTGCAGCGTAGTAAGCTTTGAAATTCATCGAGGCATCGATATTGTGGCAAAAAGTTACCTGAAACAGTAATGGATTGAGATGAATTTTGTCAAGTTTTATTATATTCTATATATTTCGGCTGGCTTAGGTTATTTTTGCCTATTAAGGGCCGAGAGGTAGGCAGTATAGTGCTTACAAGTCCTATAATGATTCGAAAAATTGTGTATAAAAGTTCTATGTATGACATAAAAAGTTTTAAAAGGTAATAAAAAATAGAAAAACAAATGGATTTAAAATCAGCGTTAATCAAATGTCAACAGAAATAAGTCAGAGGCAGAAGAAATGCCATATTCATACGCAAGATATGAAAAATCCGCTGCTTTATTTTTGATGGGTTTTGATATTGTGTTCTGTGGATTTATTTATTCGATCGGGTTACTGCGACGCCCTGAATAATCCATATCGTATCTTTAACTATTAGTGAAACTCTTCACGTTAACTGATCAATCAATCGTATGTGATCGATCTTCGGGCATGTCGCTAAAATTCTACAGTCACGGAAAGTTTGATTAAATTGTAATATTTGTATGCTGCTACGGTATTTCCTTTACGATCTCTTGTTCACGTGTTTTCATTATCATTTACGATTCAGTTTTGACGTAGGTTATCGGGGAGACGGGATGAGGGGATAGGGAACTGACCCACGTATGAATAAGTGAAAGTCAGGTTTTTATTACAGCAAGACCAGCCGCGCTCGTCAAACACGAGATAAGGAAAAAAAGAACAAGAAAAAAGTAACCCTACACTTTTTTTTCGTGCAGACCTTAAGTTCACTGACCAGGTTTGAGGCCACGTTTCCTTTCACTTCCTGGGTGACATACTGAATGGCAATGTGCTCGGAATACGGCTCGAGAGCAACATTCTAGAGGCGTTTCGGGTGGATTCAGAGGAGGACGTCCAATGGCGTGTGAATGCGCGACAAGATGGACCTGGAATGGAGCCATTCAGAAGACGAAGAAAGCTGAGAAAGGCTAGGCTAAACTAGTGGAGATGACGAACACCAGAGGGTCTTAGCCCTGTGGAATAGCGGTGCAAGACGCTCATTTGTTCCCGTCACACATCAGACAGGTGTAACGAGACCAGAAAAAAGACACAAGAAAAACGTTACGTTAGTATTTGATTCTATGGAAACAAGTCACACTAACCTCGCCATAGTCGTTGCCATTCCCACGCACATGACATTTGTACGTGCCGAAATCGGAGCGTTCAAGAGAGCGGATATCGAGAGCTGATACCAGCATACCGGTACTGTCTTCAGATGCATAGGTGGTGACTTTGAAGCGACTACCTTCGACCTTACGATGAGAGGAACCAATCTGCTTCTCCCACACCATATACATCTTCGCTCCAACGCCCATACGTAGACGACATGCCAGTGTCGCCATGGTGGCGTCATGTGGAAGCTGCACTGTGGAAGTGTAGCTGACACCATCCAGGTCGTCAGTTCCGGAAGTGCTGATGTGCAGAATATCCGATGGTGTGGATTTTTTGGACAGATCTGATGCATGCGCAACGACAAATATTGAATACTTCCCTTCAGAACGAAGATTCGTCAGATTTATTGAGAATAGCTTCGTCGAGTGAATCACCTCCTCGTGTATAGCGCCGGATGTGTCAGTGACGTGTACTTTGTAAATGTGTACCAGTTCCGGGTACTTGGCTGGGGCACTCCATTGGATCTCTACCGATGTGCTGGTCTTCGAGATCACCTTAAGAAGCTGAGGTGGAGTCGGCGTATTGGAATGGCTGCCGAGAATACAGGTGTACATTGAAGGTAGATTGATCGCCAGGCATGATTGGTATCGTATCCAGCGACTTACGCCGTTCGACGAACCACGACAAATAGCAAGGCAGGAGCTCTCCTCAGCTTGAATTGCTGTTGTACGGCAACATTCGGACGAATCACGGCCATCAACGAGGCATTCAGCGATTTCCGTCAGATAGTGGGCACAGCCGGTGCGGGCCTCGAAGATCGTATAGCGTTCAATGTCGCCGGGTGGCGATTCGAGGCGACACAAAGCGTGTGAGCAGGCCTCCGAAACGCCACGATTCCGGCAGCAGGTCTCAGTATGGGCGATGACCAGGAAGATATCTGAATCGTACAGCACAACGATAAGCATGACCAGGTTGGCCAGCCTCATCGGAAGTGGGTCAGGGATTGCCTACCCCGCGTAGGGGCCGCCGCTCTTGATCCCACTACCACTCAACCGCCGCCCCCCTCTCCCCCGCCCCGAAACGGGTTCGCAAAAGAGTGATAAGCATTGGTCGAAAGGTCGAAGTCTGCTGTTCTACGTATCTCGCTTATCCACGCGCCGTATTTTCTTCATTAGCACCGTTAAAAAATAATGTAGGAACTCTTGAGTTTGGATTCCTACACAGAAATGGTTGAGGTATTTTGCAGGTAGCGTTGCACGTGGGACAGGCCTTGGCCTTACGATACATTCGGTCAGTGGAGACGATGCTGGCAAGTACCACTGCGTTGTTACTCGATTCGCCAAACAACCGACCAGACCTGAGACAGGACCGCCCATACGGCTGATCGTGAACGGTAAGGTAACTCTATCTTTCAGTGGTGAGCCGGAAAAATAACGAAAGCTGTGATTTTCTTTTAATTTTTTATGGGAAAAAATGGCTTGATTTTGGTCTGTAGGCCCTAAGAGAGTAATACTTCATGAGTTATGAACTCCATCCTTGTAACAGGTTTGGTGCGGAACAACGAAGTAACACGCTAAAAAGGATAGAGAATCATAATTGATGAATCATTAATGACATTTATTGGAGTGCATCAGAAGATTCGTCAAGAGTGATAAGATCAGATGGAGAGTTTCCTTGAGCGAATAGCGATTGCTGTAAGAAAATGAACGGCGATATCAATAAGAGCCTGAGTGTCGATGTTTTCGCACGTTTTTCTTACTTGCAAGAACATCAAATTGTTCTCTCAGAGTGCGAATGTTCTCAAAGGGCGAGCATTAGTCGTTTTTTATCAAAAAATCTCGCCGATACCTACTTCGTTACTTGTCAGAAAGTAGTAACTGTCGATGGTTTTTCTTGAAACGGTTATGAAAAGAATGTGTGACAACTCATCATTACCGGTAGCCAACTGCCATGGTGCTTACTTGGCTTTCGGGTTCACCTGTTTGGTTAGATTGAGTGCCTGATAATAAGTTACAAGTCAAAATTTAAAAATGGCTTGCCATGAAGGAGTCCCACTCGCTTGGTAGTTTTTTCAATTTTGTATGATTTTTAGCCTCTCCGATTTTGTTATCACCAGCCGATCATCAAGTAAATTATGGCAGCATTGGCGATTCTCTATCGATAGAGTGCAGAGCGGATGGGGTTCCACCGCCGGAGATCACTTGGACCAAGGTGAGAGTAACCTTCCAAGTTCTTTCGATAGTTGAAGACCAGCGTTCTCTGAAAATTTTACGATGTCGAATTTTGACGAATGGTACGTGATGCTCTAGTCTATGGCCAGGTGACTAGGGGAAGACCTGGGTAGGAGTAAGTTCACGTATACCTGTGAAATGCTTAAACGGGCGATTACCATCCTTAAAGACATGGTGCTCATGTCGGGATGAACACGGTCGGGTATTTGCGGGTAGAAGCGCGCGCTAAATGAGAATACGGACTAAATGTTAAAGCAGAACTCGCGATAAAAAACTGTCAATGAAAGAAAAGGGTGTGTAGCGGAGAAGGCAGGGGGGGGTCCTCTCAACAGATATGTGACAGTTTTGCGACACAAGGTCCATTATGAGCAGAGTTACACGGTGCAAAAAAGTGTCCAACGAGATCTTGAACTACCGTACCTCGGACATATTGCGTAATTTTCTGATCGGGAGTGCCTCTCGTAGCAAACCTTGAATCTTACAAGTTGAACCTTCTAATTTTGCGTACTATGATTCTTCTGCACAGTAGGAGTATATCTTATTGTGACGATATTAAATGAAGTAACTAATAATAGTTATTACATAAGGCAAGTTGTTGCAGCAGCGCCCAATGGTTAACTCATCCAAATTTGAATGAATGGGGAGAAGAAGGTGTTATTTCTCGCCTTTTCATCCACACTGGCTGCCTTTTTCACAGACGCATCATTAGGCACCTCTAATTTAGCACTTCAATAGAATCAGGGTATCATGAGTTTGTCTCTGCATACGGGCTTATTGCGGCCGCGTAAACACTAATTCACCTGTTCGCAGGCTCTGAATCCATAACGCGAAAAATCTAAAATTTCTCAGTCGTCTGTAATAATTCGCGAAGTTAATGAAGTTTAAATTTGGGGAACTTATCGGGCTGTCTGGAAAAAATGGGCACGACATTCATAGGCAATGCGCTGTTTTTTAAAGCACGGCAAAAATTTCTTTAATTATAAGAGTCAAAGGATTAGGATTCATCTAGTCACTTTTTGCCCAAGCAGAATTGCTCTCCCACCCCAGTGCTTTCTCCCTCTGCAAAATGATGATTACTGTAGGCGTCACGAGTTATTGCACCAACAAGATAAATGGAAGTTATTTTTACAGCTTGAAGGCACGCCACAGGATTGAACAGGTGTGGTCTTGTACACGAAAATGAAAGCATTGGTGTGAAGTTGGCTAGCAGTAAAGAAAAAAGGAAAGATTTCTTCGAAAATGCAGAAGGCAAGGGCTTCTCGCCTTAGCGTTAAGCATAAAAGGCTAAGCACGGTGGATAACGCATAGGCGAGAGAGCACACGGGATGGGAGAGCACCAGACATCTGCATGCCGCAGATGGGAAAAAGTTAAAGCGTTTCAGGCGGTCCTTTTGAGGTTCTTGCTCCGTTGCTGCTTACTTAAGAGCTGGGAGTACAGAATATCTCCGGCTTTCATGAACAGCTCTATCCTATCAGCCAAAAGCTTCATCCACCTAAACTCTCCTGGATTGTGCCTTTAAGGTGAATTTCATGAAAAATGAGAAGATGTTGTTTTTGGGCAGTGTAAGTAAACTGGAATAAATTTTTGAATGCTCCTGAAATGCGATTTTCTGTAGACCTTCCAGACGAAAGAGATTTTTTTCAAAGTTTCCTTGGTTTCTCTTTCTCAACTGGCTTACGAAGAGTGATTCATACTTTCGAACTGATGGAAAGGAACTAGGGGAACAGATGGTCACGTACAGATTCTCACAATGCTTGTTTTCTCTACTCACCGTACCAAGTACTGCCAGCAGTGCCCGGAATTTAAAGACGCAGGCCTGAATCATTTGTATATAAGTTCGTTCAGAATGACAAAATCGTCAGCACGGGGCCGCAGCTCCAAATAGACAAGTTAGAGCAACAACATGAGGTGAGAATAAGATCGAACTGGAAGGGAGCATTTTTATTACCATTTTTTTCTTAGGGAGTCTACACCTGCCTAGCTGTGAATGTGGAAGGACGAGCCGCGTCACATTTCGAGTTAAAGTTCTCAAGTGAGTCATTTTATACCACCATCTTTCATCGTACAAGCGGCAACAAAGTCAGTTTTGTTAGGTGGAAACCCAAATATTTTCTGTTTTAAGCTAACAAGCAAAATTTGTCGAATTTCGAATTCCTCGAGTGTGCCACGTGGCGGCCTTCTGTGGAAATTGGTGAAAATAATTGAGCAGGATGAACACGCCTCATGATTCGTTTCCAGCAACTAATAAATGAGCCCGGCTTCATTTTGGTCCTTCTGTGTCTCAATCTGACAAAAAAGATCCTTGCCTCATTTTTTTATGCCAAAGATCCCTTGAACAATGCGTTTCAACATTTGCACGTGCCCGGTGCATTCCTTATCGCAGCGCTGCGTCCTAGTTCCTTTTTATCGAGTAGGTGACGAAAAACGATCGTACTTTAGAAAAACCCTCCTGAAGGAAACTAATGACTCACAATTTTTTCTTACAGAAACATTCCCAGTGCCGCTTAATTGCAGTCTATGCGCGCGGCAGCGTAGCGATTTATGGGAGAAGCGTGACCTTTGACGTTATCGAAGCGACGTAGAGAATGAGAGCGACAAGCACGGTTTGATGCGTTCAAAAGGCTGCCGCATCGCGACCGCATGCGTCCGTTCTTGCTAAGTTGTGTTATTCAATCACATCGTACATGATAAAGCAAAAAAAACGATGCGAAATTCGCCGTTGATCAGTCCCTTTTTGGGATGCGGCACGCTTTCTACTTCCATTTGCACATTTGTAATGGCGTTTGAATGCGATATGGCCTTTATGATGACTTGCGGGTGCAAGCCGATGTACAAGTCAGTGTTTTATCCTCCCAGACAAGTCTGGTACCAAATAAACGACCCCGGAGGGAGGGAAGGCTTGATTGGCCAGGGCGATTCACGACCCAGGATTTGATCCAGACCACACGCGTGGTAAGCGTGCCACTTGCCACTACACCACTTCCGCCCATCGTACATGATAGTGTAACTATATATGTAATGTAATGAGAGCTGCATTTGTTCGAACTCGAAGAAAACCTCCGCCTGGAATTTATTCGACACATTTCTTCAGAAAAACCTTCATTTGATTTCGTGCCTTCGAACAAGACCGTCGTCGAGGGTTCAAACGTATTTTGGCGCTGCCACGTCGATGCTCCACCCTCTGGCATACAGTACTCATGGATGTTCCGGGACCGACCCATTAAGACCACGGAGACGGGATTGCGGTCAGAAATTAAGGTGAGGTGACGCTTTTTATTGGTAGTGAATATGATTTAGGATGGGGTAAGAAAAAGGAAAACCAATTTTTCTGAAATTTCAATAGACGTTTTTTTTTCTCGAAGCAAGATGAATTAAATTCTAGGACGGTGACTTATCCCTGCGTGATGTGCGGAAGCATGACGGAGGCTGGTATGTGTGCATGGCCTCGAATCCATCTGGAGAGCAATCGCAAGCGTCGGCTTTCCTTGATGTATTATGTGAGTTTTTCTAGAATTCGGCTATTCAAAATAGCGATGTCGAAGCTCCATCCTACATCAGTACATATGTTAAGTAGTCGTTCTGCCTAACGATTTTACCCTTTTTCAATGCGAATTATATAAAATTATTCACTAGTCATTAAACTTCAAGGCAGGTGGCACGATAAAATGTGCCTATATAAAGAAATTCTGTACCTTCAAGGAAGCGAAACATTACACTTAGTGGGCGATGAGCAGCCCGTTGCGGTCTAACAAGGGCTTCCCCATTCTGAACTCATCACCCCTCTGCCCAGCCATCAACTGGCTTCTTCAGCTGCTGCTCTCTCGCGTCGGACTCTAGCAGTTCCGGCAGAGGCAGGACGAGCGTTCACGTTGATGACGCCATCAACGATGAGACTCGCCCAACGCGGAAACCAACGGAGAAAATGAGGGTCATGCTTTGCGAGCTCTATGCCGTTTGCCTTAGTTTTCCTTCCCACTGCAATCACGTCTACTTTTCAATTCCGCATCCAACTTTCCGAGCAATCCGCCTGCGTGAAATTTCCGCCACGACGCATGCGTGGCGCTTTGCAATTGGCTAACTAGTTTCGGTCACCAATAGCAAACAGTTTTTTTGCGGGCTCCACTTGCGTGGTCCCAAATTCAGCAGGGTTTCCCCTCTATGATCATCACAGTCCTCTAACATAAGTCGAAAAGAGTGACAGTGACCTGTTGCTAGGGACAAGGTCATCTTATTTGATGAAGTAAGGATGTAGCATGCGGTATTTATCAGTTCTTTTTTGAGATGCGTCTTGCCTCCCTCTTACATTCAGAATCGCGGTTGCATTGAGATGCGTTTTAGTCCATGTAATGACTTGCGGGAGCTGACCAGTGTGCATATTAGCGTATTCGTCACTAGGCAAGTACGCTATCAATATATACCCCGGAGGGATGGAAGGCTAGGTTGGCCCGGACGAAGCACGACACAGGATTTGGTCCCGGGACCATGCGCGTGATAAGCAGCGCCACTTTCCACTACACCTCTTCCACCCCAGTGTATAGCATATGCCACATATTTGGCATCGATTAAGAACTGTGAGAACACTTTAGAAGGAGGGTTCGAGAAAATAGTCATACTTGCTCCATACCAATGTATTAATTGCTCCAAGAGGACGGGCACCAAAGGTAATGCATTAGAGGAGATGCCTTATCGGAGCAGGGTTTGATCCGGCTAAATACTCAAGAGACTCTGAAGGAGCTTCGCTACAGCATCAAACTGCTCGACAGTAATGAATGAGTTTGTTCTGAAGTGTACCAGCTCCAGTTTTTCGGCCGTTCAGTGTAGCATTTGAAGATTTTTTTATTGGAAAATGCTAGTGATGCTGAAGGTTTTCCTCCTTTACTGCAAAATAACTAGCATAGATTCAGAATCAGGTTTGAAAATAGGACGGACCAGGAAAAAGCGGCATTATGACAAAAACAAGAACAACACAGGTCGAAGGCTTAGGCTTTTTCTGACTGTTCTATGTACGGTGACTCGAATTCGGATGACGCGAGAAATTTCCCCATCTATGACGATTAGCTCGACCATGATAGCAATGCGGATAGGTGTCAACGCTATGGTTATCAATGTATCAGTGTAGTTGTGTGGCCTTGTTTCGGAAACGGGCAGAAACTAGATGGCCGTACACGTAGTTGGTTTTATGCGGTCCACTTGTGAGGGTCACTTGTTGTGTAGACCAGGTTTCCGGTGGATGCGCCAGTTCTGTTGGGGTATCGAAAAGAAAGTGGACGCGCTAACCCGGAAAGGGTGATAGGTCGAAGTGGCTATACGCAGTGAGACCTCCACTGATGTATGTGTCTTTATACCCTGATCACACATCTGCTTTCAAATCTGCCAATTTATTTTCTGAGCGGAGTTATGAGGCGGAATAGAGCAGCGGTAGTGGGCTCAGCTCACGAGTGAGGTCGCCGGATCAGTTCCCTGACATGTTTTCCCTCCTGACTCCGCGGCAAAGTGGTATAATCGACGCTTGTCTATACTTACCCGTACACTTACGCGTACAAAGGTTTGCGAGGAGCTGCTAAGATATTTGAGCGCTTCGTGTTAACTACTGCACATGGAGCCCGCAGAACTCTTGACAAACGTTTCTGCAGCAGACAGGTGTGATGTTCATGTTCCAGAGATAAAACACCCCCGAAACCAAATTTTTGCCCAGTCATCAGCCAAGGTGTCGATACTATGACCTCTCGCCCGTGAGCCCGGAACACCACCCCTGCTCTATTTTGCTTCATAACTCCGTTCGGAAAATCGGTTGGCAAATTAGAAGAGCAGCTTCGAGGTCGGTCTCCAAAACACACACAACAGTGTAGGCCTCATTCCATATGGCCACTTCGACCCATTATCCTTTCCTGGTTAGTAATGCAGCGAACAAAAATCAAATAAAACATCTGAAAACCAATAGAAGGAAACGTAATTCTTGATTGGTTTGTGGATTGGGCTGCTTTTCACTATGACTAGAGCTTCGTCAACGTTGAAGTAGGCTCTATTTTTATGCCGCTAGGGCTAGAGCACAGATGTCAAAAAGCAGCGGCAGCGGCGGCAAGAGACGGAGTTGCGATCAAAGACGGGCTTAGATTTTCTTAGGGCCTAGCTAAGTGGCTACAAGCGTCACTTTGCTACTCTTCGTCTCCTTAGGCATCTGGTCTCTCCTTCCACTTATCATACATTATTTCCCCTATGTGAACAGCCAAATTGCCGTACTCACTGGCTTTAAAGTGCATGAACAGACACGCTCAGAGCCAGTGAGTACGGTAATTTGGCGGTTGAAAAAAAAACGATTTTATATAGTATTTATCGGCAATAAGGTGGCGAGCTTGTAGCCTTGTTTGAATAGGTTTGTTGGCCACTCACGAGCTCGAGAAAGATTCTGTGTTGAGGATTTCTCAACTTTCTGAAGGGACCTATCAGCAACACTTCACAAATGAAAGATCATTGCTTCGATATGAAATAGTCAGAGACATTCATCCATTGCTTTTGAAATGCTGCGTGCAGCCTCCCACAAATGAGCCACATATGCTTTTGTGAGCTCGAGCTTCATTATATCAAAAAAGGAACTCAGATTCCAGGAGTGCATTCATTGTCCACAGAGAATCTGACTACATTCTCAGCTGTCATGGGCTATTGAAACCGAATTCATTGCAAAAGTGCCCATACTTCAAGAGCAACCCTCGGCTATGGTTTCATTTACAAGTCTTCTGATGTAAAGGATCAATTTACACATTCTGCACCTGAGAGAAGCGATACGATAAAGAGAGAGCGCGTCGGGCCACACGAAGCAGTGGGAAGTGAGTGTGGCGCTTTCACGACGAAAGATTCGCTGGTTACTGAGCAGTACTCGAAAAGCGCTCCGACTGCAAAGGTGTTCCACCCACTAGTTTAGTTGGTGGTTTGGACGAGTTGTATTGCCAAGAACGGCACAGTTAGAGACAGGGTGAATATTGCTTGAGGATTCCTCAACGGCTCGTCGAGGATTTTCGCCTGATCCTTTACGTTCTCGCGCGCGGATATTCACTCTCGCCACCCGCGAGCCGTCTGTGCTCTCCGCGCGTACATTCACTATCGGCTCTACTCTTGCACAGCAGAGAGCGATGATCGAGGAGTTCCTCGACCGTTGTTCACCCTGGTTAGAGCAACTCGATTGAAGCATGGATTGGCGTGGCTACCAAATGCGTCGCGGTTAACTCCTCCATACGTCCGCCGTCCTAATGCTGCCCTTTTTTGAAGGAAAGTCAACTGCCAAACAAAGGGGTCTCGTTTTGCGTTCCCTTGATGGATTTCTCTGTTTTTTTTCGCTATTCGCGTAACATTGAGCACTCCCACGTCCTCTCCAAACCTCCCTAGAACCTATCGTTATAGCTGTGTTTGGGTTAAAGTTGGTAGCCTAATTTGCAGGATTTCGACGTTCAAGCTACTGGGTTGTATTCTTGTTAACAGCTTAAGTAATAGCCTTATACGCTAGCATTGAACGTGGCTCCTTTTTTCTGTTTACTGTTGAAAGAGATTCAGTAAACTTCGAACTCTTGAATCCAAAATCAATACTCAAAGGTTCCTCCGATGACTATCGAAATGAAGTAAGTCAACCAGTATATTTGGACGTCGGAAGCCTTGTCGCATTTTTCAGATTTTTTTCATTAATTTTCTTCTTTGGTACACTCAACAATCAACAAAAATACGTATGCCCCACCATTATCATCAACACATTGCTTTTTTAGCAGGTAGCTTTGGATGCCATTGGTCTGGAAATCCTGAGCTTTTCAGATGAAAAATTGAAGAAGTTCTTTCCAACAAGGTTATGACCATCGAACTATCCCTATTTCAATTATTCGACAGCAAAAGAGGCTAATGGTGGTCTGCTGGTGCCAGGTCCGCTAAACACACCAGGCCGAGCATGGAGACTTTTGTCGGACCTTCTTTGTAGTTCGTGCACGAGCGTTGCCGAGATACAACAAATTTTCGTATGATTACCGAGCATGGCGCCGGCCAGCCAATCCATTTGCCTGCCATTGACAGTGGAAGAAATAGCACTCAGTGGGCAAAGCATCTGCACCTTCATCAACTCTGGTCGCCGTTCTGGTTTCGGCGTTGGAAAACTGATGAACCCAATTCCTGCTACTATCCACAGAATTGTCGGGCCCTACGAAGACGAGCGAAAAATCAAAACATTCATGCAGAATTTCTTCGCTTTTCGAAGCTACATAGTAGTGATCAGTCAGATCACGTAATGTCCTTTCGCCGTAATTTTCCTTCGTTCGAAACGGCGTAGAGGACGGCGATTAGGCTACTGTGCTCTGATAACGCCGAGGAAGCTTTGCCAATTCCCTTATATTGCGCGGAGGGCTCTTTCCAAAGAGCTTCAGGAGCTACTCGTCACACAATCTAGCAGGACGATCACATTTATGGTTTTTTTTCTCAATTTACTGTACTTCTGCGGCGTAATATTTTCGATGTCGTTGAGGACAGTCTGAAGGGCCATCGTATTACGTAGACTTCTTGCCTCATCGATGTTCCTGGGTCTATAAACGGGTGGAGTTGAACATGCCCAGTTGCGAAGACTTCCACGATGAGGATTGAGTAGGAGAAACTTATCTGATAAAACAGACGGACCCTCTGCGGACCGATACGCAATTCGCAGCAAACGATATCCCCTCGGCGATCTTGCAAGGCCATCCCCGCGCTACTATGGACACGGCACGCCCACCGACTGGCTAACTATCCACTGCAGGTCTCTTACAATCCGCCGCAGGTTAGCACTGAAGAAGGCAGCCCGATGAGAGCCGCATCAATGCGGAAATCAACAAGTGAAGGTTCCCATTTTTGGGTTTGGTCCCGGCACCACTGAGCACTAATTGTGAACTCCGGCTTTGAAGACGATTTTCAGCTGTAGTTGCTACGAAATGATAGAGCAGAAATGGTTTGGGAAGAGCATTGATCATCATTAACGAACGTTTTACTGTGTATGTCTTAAACGGTTCCCAAAGCTTTCGCACATCAAGAAATAAATGCGCAAGGACTTTTCCGACAAGCTAATACCTAGTTGATTATTTCTATGAGCTGAAAAGTTCGTTTTTAGAGACTTCTGAAATCTAATCTGGGCTACCATCTGGAAGAAATAGAGCAAGAAATTCGTGAGAAAGTGCGTGTCAATCATAAGTGACCAATAATCATTAAACTGCGATGTTATTGTTCGGCGATAATGGGAGGGCTCACACTTTACCGTATCAAGACTGGTCAAGAAGCTCTGCGGTTTCGGCGGTCGAGGTATTGGAGGGAGCTAGGATTAAATATTTGAACAGGCCAAACGCGAAAAGCCAAATGTTATCCCTGAAGGAGCAGAAAACTTCCAAATTTTCACTGAAGTTTTCTTTGACGTACTTGAACATTGGTCATAATTGATCACGTTCCTATAAACAACAATAACAATAGTTGAACCAGATGAATGAGGTCAACTATTCGTGACGGTCATATGTCACGTGTTTCACAGAATAGCTCCTAGTATCACGCTCTATCCCAACTACTTGTACATTTCCTTGGCCCGAGAAGAATTGCGAAAGAAAACATGACCAAAGACAAGGTCGAGGATTGGTCGACATCGGAAATCATGCGCTATTACAAATCTCTTGAAGGGATCAATCTTTTACAGATGCTCCAGAGGCGTTACCGTCACATCGCCAAGTACTCACAATCGGTTACGGGCAGAATGGCACGTTGGCGTGTTCTGTGGACGCGAATCCCAAGCCGAATGTCTACACATGGTCCAAAAACGGCCACTTCATTGCTACAACGACAGAGGTAACCAAAACCAAGATATCGTAACCACTTGCGCTGATCAGTGTACTGATCACTCATCTGGGAAGATACCATATTCTCTGGCTCGTCTGCAGGCCTTTCTGAAGTGAACTGAGCAAAGCAGCTCAAGAAGGCCGGCAGACGAGCCAAGAAGTTTGGAGTCTTCCTAGTTGGAGGCACTCCCCTCAAATCGTGGAGGGCTATGCGCTGGTTTTCTTCAGGAGTAGAATAACGACTCCTCGCCACGGGTTTGTAATTGTCTCGGTGGGAAAAGCTGGTCGTGACTGATTTTCAAGGAGCATATGGAAAAACGAAATGGCGGCGTAGGACTTGTCCACGTCATTGTAGTAATCACATGTACATATACTCTCATTCTGTTCGACGCCAACATTGGAGTAGCTTTGGGGGCGGAGTTGGAGAGCGTCACTTAGTACCAGAATCAGCGGCCCCGTTGAAACCATCGACTACCAGCGGATTGGGGAAGGGGGAGGGGACGGGTGAAGTGGGCCGGAGACTAGTTATCTGGACACAAGGCTCACCCTACTCTGCAGTGTTCTGTCCAAGGCTTCAGTGATATTCGGTGACCTTCGATGTTCAAGTTGCTGGTTTCGGAGAGACCAAATAGAGCATGTTCATAAATTGAGCTTACCTCTCTGCAACCATGGCACCGTTTTTTTTTCTGAGAGCATTCTTCTCAATCTCTCGAATGACATTGGCGAACAGCCATTAAATCGATGTCAGACTTTGCGAAACTAGCGATTCGATAGCGTCCACGGTCGCGGAGCGGCCAGCGAGTCGCTTGATTGGCTGATATCGCAACGCGATCGCGGACGCTAGCGAATCGCTAGTACAGAATCGCTCGATCCGCAAAGTCTGACATCGGCCTTATCTTGATCTCAGCCCACGACTGCTGAGGTATGACTAAACCTGAATTTTACCTCTACAGTTACAGTTAGAGTGGTCGGTTGTTAGTCGATCGATTGCTGAAACATGTGAATCAACCGACCTCTAAATTCAGGCCGCGGTTTTAGCTTGCTTACTGGCCGTAATGCCTATGATAGTACACCAGAAAAAGTAAGAAAAGCTCTGCAACAATCCAAACAAGACATCAGATCGGGCATTCTTTTGTTGAGCGAGATCTTCAATCAACAAGCCAATTGTCACTGGTATCTGGGGCACGTATCGCGTCCATCTTCCGGGTAGCTTCTCGATCCCACTCTTCCGGAATATCGGTGTCTGCAGTGAGAAAAAGCGGTCGATCTTGTTTTCGGCGCTCGCTATGTTTTTATCCTCTGGCTGATGCTGTAGTGTCCTAAATAGCGATAGTGAGAAGGAGCTAAGCCCGTTGGTTAAGGAGGATGCTGTGATACCACGATCTCAAGCGGGATCTGTTCTTTGACGAATCTTCCTCAGCACATACAGGTGCAGCGTTGAGTTGCTGAGCTCTTCGCAGCGCGTCTGACGGACTTTTTTATGGACCCGGTAGAAGCCCTTTATTTTTGTGGGATTCAGCCCCGCCTAGATATATGGCTTACGTAACAAGCCCACCTTTCGTCCCCAAGTGGTGAGCCTGCTAAGAAATTTCCGCATGATGATCAAAAGGAAAAAGAAAAATACGGCTCTCGGACTCAGGGTGAGCCAGCGTCAATAATTCCTCGATCAGGTAGTGTAGGGATTAGGCTTTTCAAGAGGACCCATATTGTTTGAAATTGGCAGCGTTTTGGAGCCTAGGGGAATAAATCTAAGTCAGCTCGTAGAAATATGTTGAAAAATATACAGGGGGGGGAGGAAATTTGGCAAGCGGAAGTTCCTGTAGCCTAGAATTTCCTAGCAGTGTCTCTCTATAAGTGGCGCAAGCCCCCCCCCCCCTTTCACTGCCCTTCACCGTATTTAGAATGTGACGTTTATCTGTCATCGTCGTCAAGCTCAGTAGGCCTACCGTCACTGCTTCAGCCTTGAAGCTCTTACGTTAATTTTGTGAAGCGATTCAATGTTGTGATAGTTTCCTTAGAGAGGTTAGCTTCCACTATGCAAAACCCCTCGAAACTCGCTTTCAGTAATGGTCGTTTATGGCTGCACAATTCTTCGAAGACCCCATTGAGCTCGACCACTGCACCATGTTTCCGGGGCAAATTTTCTATGCCATCACGAAGGTGGGCACGCTATAAACATTTTTCTATTAGATGAAATGCGCTTCAACTTCAAGTTGGAGAGCACACGTTTTGAGCTGAGAACAATTGTGATTGAATCCAATTTGAAGTCTGGACGAAAAAAAAATGTCTTTTTTTATTTGCCCCCCTGTATAGAACGAAAGAGGATGAAATAGGGTGGCAGTAGGACCCAGAATAGGTGAGTTACCCTCCGAGTGGTTCGAATGATGGCACCATAATAGGGCAGAGTTTATAGTTATGCCTTGAGAGTGGTGATACCCTTTGTGGTGTTAATTTTTCCCATCATTCGGTTCCACTCGGTAAGGTCAGCTCAATTTAAGTTGTTAAGTCGCGCTAATTAAGTTTAGTTGATAATGAATTTTTCCACCTAGCCAAATGGTTACAAAAAAATCGATGAGCAGCTGGTATCTTGCAGAAGTTCGATGTTGAAACTTTTTCTTCCATTTTAAAAAGTCTCAAAAAGCGCGTTGTTAAGGATACATTATTGATTCGTGGCGAGAAAGACTCAGATGGTGGAATTTTCGGGTGTCAAGCGGAGAATCCTGTGGGTAGAAGCTCGATCATTGAGACACATGTGATTATCGCAGGTTCGTTAATCTCTTAAATCACTTGCAATTTCAGCCTGTCTCGGAACCGATTTTGTAAAAAAAACCTAATTTTCTAGAGCCGCCAGCGTTTATCACCCGTCCACCAGCAGAGCTTCGAGTGTTTGAAGGTGCACCAGTTGATGTGACCTGTGAAGGTTTTGGAGATCCGCTTCCAATTGTTTATTGGGTTCATTCCAAGGCAAGTACAGAGCTCAAGTTACCTCGCCTCAAATGGTGCATTTTTCTTATTTTGAATGAATTTCAGAGAAGAATTTCCTCGGCCTCACTATCCTTTCCATCAGCTTCACATAGCGACCATGGAATCTATGACTGTGTTGTGAGCAACGCAGTTTCTACGATATCCACTTCGATGAGTCTGATTGTCGAGGTCCGTGTAGATCAAGTTGACCGATCAATAATCGTACCACGATCAACCGTGAGGCCTTCCCAAATGCAAATTTCCACTCCTTCTCCTTCGTCCTTCCCGATCATGGCTTCTATAGCATTTGATCCTGGCCCCGCTTGAACTTTTTCTTATACAATTTCAACTCCACCCTCAACCCTTCAAAATCGGCCAAAATGTATGTCGAGCGGTGGGGTACTTGACAGGGGCGCATCACGCGGCTAAAGGCAGAGTCAGCGGACGAGTCGCAGCGCGTGATGTGCGAAGCAGGATGTGCAATGGTACATTACATTTAACTGCACGCGAAATCACTACAGCACGCGCCTCGGCTCGTTCGCTGACACTGTCTTGTTGCCGCGCGACGGGCCTCTTGTCGGACTCCCCGAGCGATGAAACAAATGTTTGAAGCAGCAACAATTGCCAAAAACTTCGTAATTACTCTAGCTTCATAATCTCTTGCTTTCCAGGCAATTGTACCACCAGTTACACTAACTGGTAGCACAATAGCCCAGAAAGCAAGAGATCCGGGTACGAATACCGACTGGGGCGAAAGTTTTGCCCACAACTTGTGATAACAATCGAAACACGGACTGCGTCGTAAAACAGCAGCTATCCAACCGAAGCGAATCTACAAGGAGTGCTTGTAAATTTCAACAAAGAATTTCCTTCCCGTACCTTCCAAATGTCCGGCTCATTCGCGGAAATGGCTCTGCTTCACAAAAATACAAAATTAGGCCCCTTGTCTGGACCTGCCAGACGGACGGTTGACTCTGACTTTTGCGTTTAAAAGCTACCAAAAAATATGGGCACCTTCCGAAGTAGTTCCGAAGATGCTTGAAAATAGTTATTTTTTCAATTTATTTTAGAGAACTCGTCCACAGGCTGCCGTGATCGACAAAGTCGAATGTGTTGGTGATGAGGCAATCGCTATACAATGGACTCCAGGTAGAAAAATTTCAAAAAATTTGGAAAGCCCATTTTCCTTGAGTTCTCTCTAGTTGTGAAAATATCCATAATAAATGTGCAGTACTAGACTAATGAAAAGGTTCCACAAAAAAGATTGGCATCACATTTTGAGATTTACGCCAAGACGTCGATTAAAGAAAATAGACGAATAATTGAGCTTTGTTTTTGAAATTTTTAGTAGGTTTTGTATTTTTATGCTATTTTTATGCTTTCTCTGTGATGCTTTCTCTTCAAATCTGTGCACGCTGTTATTTCTTTCGTAGCCGAGTCGTCTCGCTTCAACGTCAACCAGCTTCATTCAGGTTTTAACGGCTCTTATCCACAGTCGTTTGTTATCCATTACGTGTCCGAAGAGGATTCATCAGAGAAGACACTTCTGACGACGTCAACATCAGCTACTATCGGCGATCTGATAGCGTTCTCCAAGTATCGAATTCTGATCGAAAGCCGAAACCAGAAAGGCTCGACAAATTCAAGTGCTGTCGAGAAATACGGTCAGTAAAACGAATGACGCCGGTCTTTTGCTAAAGCGATTCTGATTTCCTTTGAGTTTTCCCGACAGCGTCCCAGTTCTATTCCAGCTGATAATGACGAACAGAATGATCAGCGAACGATATCAATGAATAACATTCTTTTCTATCATTCCACCAATTCACCTCAATCACATGAGAAAGTGCCGACAATAAACATCACTCAGACCGTAAGTACTAGTGGACTGGATCTGATCGTGGAATCGTCAGACCGGTAGCATAGAGAAAAGGGGACCGATTGAATAAGGGAGCTGAATGGGAACATCGCAATGAAACATTTCAACGGAAATCGTAATTTCTATTCAATACACGATAGGACCGTAAGATAGGAAAGCTGATAAGGTAATGGTGAAGTTACAAAGTGGAACATTTCTATCGATTTGGTTAAGGACATTTCCCAAAGCGCAGCGCTCTTCCACCTTCCACTCAGTTTTTTTAGTGTGTGTTTAGTGTTAGCTTCATGAGAAATACGCAGAAAAAAAACATTTCGAAAGCACCTATGCGACTTCAAAAGCGCTGATGGTAGTGTGGTGCGATGGCATTTCTGCCAACCCTTCGTCCAACCAGGGTCAACCGTCCGTTCACGCTATTTGAACGACAAGGTCGGATTTGTGATTTCGGGAAAGGGGGGGGGTCGCATTTGGGGTTGAGCAAATCTAAACACTTTCGAGAAAATGTGCGAACGAGGGATCGCATTCCAGCAGTTGAAGGGTCGTGGTTTGGGAGTTGTTTTTGAGGGGTTTCTTTTAACGTTTTGGAGGATTCTCTTAAAAGTGGCGTGAAATAGGTAAAAGTGATGGACTTGCCGTTTCATTATACCAGTTTGCGCCCCCCCCCCGCACTCCACGATGGCCGGATGATCGCAATTTTTTCAGAAGAGGGCGAATGTGACGGTTGGAACTGCGCGTAGCTGGTTACCAACTCCACGTAAAGGTTACCAAACCCCATCCCAGCGATTTACAAAGTATACCTAACTCGTTGAACTCGACTATTACGAAATCTGAGGCTCGAACTTCGCGCTGTGGAACTGTCACACTTATGGAGCTCCCAAACAACTTTAGAACCACCCACGTTCAATTAATAAAAACGCTATCCAAAGGTTTTTGGATCAACTCCGCATGTAAGTGTAGAGGATTGGGCGGGGAGCGAGCGATGTTTACTCTTGAGCTTTGCAAGTTTAAGGGTTTTCCTGGAAAAGTGGGTGGGATGATCCGAGGCGGAAACCAAGGGTACGGCGTTTCAACATTTTTTCAGAAGATTAGAAGAGCTCGAAGGCCTAGAGGCAGAACCCCACCCGATGGGCAGACGCTCTCGTAAAATTGTACGGCCAGCTGTGGCGCGGAGGAGCCGGAAGCAGTGCGGCTTGACAGATGCGCGACCCGCGTTCCTGGCATGCCCGGGACGAATAGCGATCGAGAATTAAGAGGCAAGAAAAGCGAGACGCGATCAAAACTGTTACGTACACGGCTAGGAGTCCTTCGCGAAGTCTCTACGCCTTTTCAGTTGAGTCGGCTTCAAACGCACATTCTGGATCGCTTGGGCTGGCTTAGTTATTACAATGAATGTAAAAAAGTGGGTTGACGTGAATCATCAAAAGATAAGAAAAAGAAAATAGGAGCCTTCTCTGAATTGGATTTATGGGCTAATTGCGAGTCTATTGGACACAGGCAAAGATTGAGTGTCGACACAAGAGAGCATAGCAGACAAGGGTGACGCAGACACCATCACACTAGCAACGATATGAGTCCCAAGCTTAGCAAGGCATCGTATGTAGTCCAGACAGAAAGCCTATGGCGACTTGCCACATGCTGACTTACAAAAGTGATACCATCTCTGCAAGGCGACGCACCAGTCTCATACAGGGGAGAGCTGCTGCACTCAGCTTGAGGCCCGTGGAGTGATTGATAGAAGATTGCACTCAGTAACTGTTCAAAGAATTGCTCAAAAATTGAAGCTTTTCGTGTTTTCAGTCTGCTCCACCCTGCCAGCTCCTTCAAACGTTCATCTGGTTGGCGAATCGGAACTGCGATGGGATCCAGTGGAACAGCTCGATCGTATCGCGTCGAGTCACGTTACGATAAGATGTCTTCATTCAAAGAAATTGTGAGTTCTATCTATATTTTGTTGAAAGCAAGTCTTTTGGAAAAATGAACCACAAATAATGATGGATGCATTTGAAGGAACATCAAGTGAGAATGTTGAAGTGTACTGTTATCGTTTCAATTTCGAGTATTCCAGTATTCAATCCATAACATGTTACATTATGAAACTACTACTATTCACGCCGCACAAATGCGCCTTTTGACTCTTTTTGGCCCGGAAAAATTAGGTTTCTATGCAACAACAAAAATTTCTCAGCAACTACTACGATGCTCACCAGGTATTTTGAGAATCACTTCGGCTTTGCTCGGCTTACTCCTAAATGGTGAATTCTCATCGACCATGTGGCTCGACCGCATCCAACATTAATGTTGGCCACGCCCCTTTACAGGCAAAATTCGAAGGCCTGCAAAGGTTCACTGGATAGTTCCGCCCACATTTGCAACACGGCTTCTGCCTTTGAGTTTTTCGCTAACGGGAAATATTAATATTCAATCTTTGTATCATGGAAGATTTCTAACTTCAACCCAGCTCTGTTTTGAGCTGTTTTGAAGGGAAATGGTAATTGAGCAATCTGCTGCAAAATCTGGGACAATGTCATGCACCTTCTTCTCCCATTCACAGAAAGAACGTTCATCATATCTTGCCCGATTCTAAGATACTGCCGCTGCGCTGAATTTACCTCAAAAGTTTCTCTGGAATTATCACCAGTACAAGACTAAGAATACAAGTAGAAGGGACACGTCCCGATCCACTACAAACACTAATTTCAGGGAGAAGTTTTGGATCCATTCTTTCGAATGAGACCGGACTTTCGCAACGGCCAGTCGTTTCGCATACGGAGCCTAAGACCGCCCTATGAACCAAGCTTACCCAGCCGATCAGTAGATCTTGGATCCATCGGTATCAAGCTTTAGGTTCGTTGAATTTCAGCAACTTCAAATTTTGATATTTTCAGGTGGAAACCTTCCATCAATGTGGTGGGCTGTTTTTGGTGGCTTCCTCTTTTTCTTCCTGTTTATGACACTTTATCTGTATTCCAAATACGGGAAATATATAGGACGACGGAAAAGGAAAAATAAGCATTACAATGATTACGGTAACTTTCATGTGTGATTTTCAAGTTACGTAACTGTTACGGATTTATTTAGTTTGCCCTTCGTCTTTCCAACCGCATACAGAGACTCTCTACGAGCCATCGGTCAACCTGTGAGTTGAATTACTTGAGTAGAAATAATTTATATGAAAAAATCCGAAAATGTTAGAAACGAATGATCCCGTAAAAAGCTAAAGTTCTGCTGTTACTATCTGAGAACCTTGCTTGAAATAGTTGCCACTAGGCATTACTTTTGTTAGTTCTCAAATTTATAGATAAATATATTAAGCAACCAATAATTTAACCCTGGTCAACAGAGATAAGGGATAAAGCCATTGGCTATCTGACGGTAAAGGTTGAATGGGCTCAAACTGCCATTCGTGTAATGGTTGGGAGGGTGTCAACGGATATCCATGCATGGAAGTTTTACACTTCGTTTACCAGTCTCCCTATCCTTTTCGTTCTCTGGAGCAGGGTCAAAAGTAACGTTTTTCAGAAATTTCGCGACCCCCTCCTTTAGTCGGGTCTCGATGCAACCCGCCGCCGGCACCATGAGACTCACGAGGCTCCCCCAATACAGCCACCCTACTTTCTACCCCGACTACCACCCTCGCCATCATGGCTGTTTGATTCTAATAGTGAGACCAGTCGACACAGCCCAACTCCGCCCACTTTCCCTCCAAAACAGAGTCGAGCGGGGGGAGGGGGCAGCAAATTTTCTCTCCATTCGCCTATTTTACCGGTCGTTGCGCATCCACTCAGCATATTACTAATCAAATTATAATCCCATTCAACCCCTGAATGCGACCCCCCCCCTCAAAACTAACCACAAATGCGACCCCTCGTCCAAATAATGCGAACGCGCGATTGACACTGCTCTGGAGCAAGCTAAGTTGAGAAAACATCAATTCACGAAGAAAAACTTGTAACATTGATTATGCTTTTCTCTGGATTCACCCTTTGAACTGAAATTCAATAGCTGTTGTTATAAAAATCCTACGGCTTTTCAATGATGCAGCATCCCCGTGTCCGAGCTAGCCAATTGATATTCATGCTGATTGTGACACGGGAAACAGCCCCTGTCTCCCATTTCATGTTCGGCACCCCCATCGATTGACCAACTTCGGAAATTCTTGGGGCTATGGAAGATAATTCTTTTGATTCGAAACCGTTTACAGCAGCGACAATGCGAAATGTAAGCAATGGCAGGGATCAAGAGCAGATTCTGAATTACAAGAACAGTCTCAGGTAATTTTATTTACTTGCTGTACCATTAAGTGCTACTGAATCAAAAAATGACAGCAATCCGAGGTGTTGTGATCGTTGGGAGGAACAATTTGACTCGATAGCTCCGAGCTTCTCCACAATTACTTTGAGAACAGGAACAATTTCTTCCGAAAATCTAGGTAGTTGAGCCCGTGTTTGAAGAGGTAGTGCCACTGCCGCAACTCGAGGTGCACTACAAGGGCGCTGGGCCTTGTTCATTTAACTGTGAGTGCCTGCGACTGTGCTGCACCCCTGCACACGGGCTGTCTGCGTCCTCTATTACGATATGTTCTCTCGCCTGTACACTCTCATGGACAAGCAATGCGTCGTTGCCTTATGTGGTAGGCACATTCTGCTTCACTGAGAGGATGTGGCATTTGAGTTTTGTTTTCCATTCTTCTTTTTCTTCTCTGTCGTTCCTTGTATCCTCACCCTCATTTTCGGGCGCAGCAATCCCTTTTATCGCAATATACGTATATAATTTAAACAACATAGAATTTGCCTTCCTTGCACCTTTTTTTCTTAATCAAATGGGTTCTTTAACTGAATTTATCCTCATTTTAAGGACATGTTGGACTACTGTTATGCTGAGGAGTCGACAAGTGCAGTAGATGATATGCTACGCGAAAAATATATGTACGGAGCAGAAGACGTGCCTGTTCAGTTGATGAATGATCTACGAATCGAACGTTTACGGCGTGAATTCAAACAATCTCAGCTGTGATTCTTTGATGTGCAAAAGCAAATTTGTCATGTATTGTTATTGATTCCTACTTGTTATGGGCACTTAGTGCATTATGAATGACTAATAAAAATGTAAATAAGCTGTTCACCACGCATTTGTTTCAGGCGCACTTCGCTGCGTTTCTGTGATGTTCACAGTTAATTGCTATTGAAAACGTTTTGTAGGAACATGAAGAGTTCATAGGAAGCCACTGAACCTGAAGACACTTCATTCTAATGGGCTGAGTGGACGAAACTTTTCGTAGGTAGGTTCATGACCGTAGTAGCGGCTCTATTCCATGATCCGAGAGAGCTAAAGGCACAACCCAGAAGGGTGAATCCGTAATGGGTTGGTCGCTGGGGTCGCAGTATTCTCGTTTTCCCGGCTCTAGGGTGCTCGATAAGGACGACAGGGCCTTGCAAAGACCGCTTCAACTGCTCCCTTCCTCTTTCTTCCGTGGCATGTGTTGTCTGGCCTCTCTCATTCGTTGTTTTCTCTCGAATGCCCTCTCTCCTCCTGTGCTCATTCTCTCACTGCCTTATCAAAAAAGTGATCAGGGTCTCAGTTTTAGCGTTTTTGAAGGGTTCTATAAATAGCTGCTACCGGCGCACTAGGGGCCTAAGTTTTCATTTTCGTGTGCAAGAACCACAGCAACTTGCTCGAGGGGCATGCCTTCAGGTTTGCGATAAAAAGACAGTCTACGGAGATCAAAGTAGAGCTGGTAAGTGATGCAGGGATGGAAAAACTAAGAAAAGCAAACTAGAACCCGAGAAAGACTCCCTTCCCTGTTGACTGCACGTTACGCGTGGCCATCAGTGCTGACATCATCAACGCTAACGCTCTCACTGGTAGGCGGCTGGAGTCACACGACAAGGGAATGGGCGGGTAGCGGCGGTAGCGGCGCGGGAGACCATGCTAGAGAACATATCCTTAATGCGTGTCGGTCCGCACCCTTAGGGGGTCAGACTGTTTCTCAACTAAGTACACGTTTACACTTCATTATCTTTGATCTTATGGTGAAGTCCTCTTTGAAGTGGGAGGTCGGGATTCCTATTGGACTCCGCCCATCCACCATTGCGAATGCGACGGTGTCTACGTCTCGCTCGTCACATGCTCTCCTTCCTAGGAGCCACTCTGTCAATGTTGGACAAACTATCAGTCCCATAGGCAGTTTCATCAGTTAAGAGAGCAAGCTACAGCAATATAGCTATGGCAATAGCTACACCTAAACAAATGTTTAATGTGCCCTCAACAAGATGTGTAACAGAATGCTTCTTAAACATAGCAACACCTTTACCTGCAGCCTGGTGTCGGATGCGGATCTACGGACACTGTACATTTCGTCAACTTAAGGGATCCTCCTGCGGTCATGGTATGTATCGTGCTGCAGGATAGCAGCACCACTGCATACATTTAGCTTACTTTCCCCGGATGTGAAGGTTTTGCATCATACGCACTGTTAAGTATTGTACGATAACCTAGAGGTGGAAGAGGAGGGAGGAGGAAAGGGGAACAAACTTCCATGAAGGATGACAGATCCCTTGAGTGGCCGAGGAGCGTTTTGCTGCGGAGGGTGCGATCATTGCGGTCTGGCAGGGTCGTTCTACGGCAGGGATTTCTTTGTGGTTATCAACGCCCACGATTAACCCAGCTGCTGAGCCTCGTCGTCGGATTCTAGGCATTTTAGCAGTGAGGCTTAGCAGAGCGTTAGCGTTACTGACGTCAGCACCGGTGTGACTCGCCCAACAAGGAAATCCACGGTAATAACATGGTACCGTTTTGTGGGTTCTAACTTGCTTCTCTTTATATTTCCTAACTTTTGCACCTCTCAGCAACCCAAGGTTCATTCCCATAGGGCTACCAATTTGTAGTACAATCTGCCGTTAAATCATGTGTTTAATATGTTAGATCCTAAGCTTGGACCTGAAGTAGAAAAGCGACTTAGTTATTATCCTCCACAACTTTTTTGATTGAAATGGTTGAGGCTGAGCTCTCCGCGATGATTAAGAGCTACTGTAATGCGCCATGCACTCGACATCAATTCAGACTTGCGGTGGCATTTGTATGCTTTGTGTGGGTGGTAGGAGTCGCGGATGGATAGTACATAGAAGTTTGGCCGTGCAAGTTGTACCACGATGGCGCTATTTTGCATAATGTTCGGAAGCTATTGATTATTTTCACAACTGGAAGCAACGGTTCCCTCAGCTTCAGGAACCGTTTTCGAACTAAAAATAATATGGCTCGCAGAGGCTTTTCCTATCAAATTTCTGGTTCCCTCCAGAACTCTGAAGATAAAAGGAATTTCAAATTCAACAAGAAACAAATCAAAAAATTAACACAACAGTTCACCCATTGTTTTTGAAGTCCACCGATGGAGCCATTTTGTGACCCCATAATGTCAAATAAGGAACTCTGACATATTTAAAAGTGAAATAGAAGAAAAGGAGAAGTATTCGATACAGAAATAACCTTAAGACTCTACGTAACGCTGTTGAAGGAGCTACTTCCCCACACAGCTTCTCTTCGTAACAAGCCCGCTATGAATCACATTTTCTAGGCATGAGACGTCAATAACGTCTCGTCTTCAACTATTGAAATGGAATTCCATATTCTATCGCATTTCTATTTATTCTGTGTTTCTTTTAACGATATTTCCGTTTGAACTCCGGCCACGGGAATCTTTGAGCAAGAAGGGTGAAAATCGTTTTTCTATTTGAATTGTAAATATTGTTTTGTATGCGCCGTGCATTCCGCTTTCATTAAAATTGTAAGGATAGTTGTGTGCAGAAAAACTTCCGGTAGCCAAAACAACGGTCACATCAGTCTGTGCATCTTCGTGCGTAAATGTGGTGCTACGTTGGTAAGCCATCCTATAATTCATGAACTTGTTGGGCTTAGGTGGTTTCAAGCCCCTGCTCTCTTGACCTTTTATATCTCTGCCAACGGAAACCAACACGATTTAATGGGAATTGTGCTGACCTATCCATCGAGGAAGCTTCTTGACGATAGGGCTTTACTTCGGTTACCTTATCAAGGTCAACTGAAATTTGGACCTAAACTTTTGCTTGTTTCTGCAGCTACCACAACAAGACAACAAAAAACACTTTTTCAATGCGTTCCTAGGCTGAATCCATCCAACATTCCTCGCTGATGACGCACACATTCTGCTTCACACGTCATGTCATCGGGTTCTCGTGCTAAATTCTGAAGTTCTCTAATTCATAATCGTTTCGTAATTTAGATGGAAATCCTGCTATGGCTATTTTCGTTGCATCTTGTGCATTCTGACAAACTTTCACCGATGGAGAACGCAAGAGTCAAAGGAACTTGTGGAGATCGTTTCCTTAGTGAGTTTGTCATCAAAAAATTGCGCACTGAAGTTTTCCATGCGGGTTGAAACCGTTAGCGTTGGCTGGGGTACTTTTTTGTAGCTAAATGCCTACAACAGCCCCTTTTGGGGAGATTACCATATCGTGAGACCATTTAGCGCGCTTCATATCATGTGAACTTCATGCTATCAGTGATGGTATGACGCCATCCCATATGGGGCCATCCGGACGAATGATACGCTGCAGATAATCAAGAAGGGAACAATCAGCAACCTACCGTAGCACCCCTTCCCGTACTCCCTTCCATATCTGTGCACGATTCTCAACAAAACTCTAATTAAAATTAGAGGTCTCTCAAAACCTTCCCTAATTCCCGACATGTGCAAAAAGGTGTGGAATAGAATGCGCGAGAATTGAATTGGTAGCTGATTGGGTTAGAACCTCCACAGTCAAGTATTTGAATCCATTGTGAGGGCGCTATTGCATGATATCAGAAATGCTCTCGTTGTGATTGAAGGCAGCAATTCCGATAGGTGTATGTAGAGGAGTAGAGGAACGTGGTGGTGCTCAATGGTACGCCAGTGGCAAAAAAGCGGATAAATCAGTCAAAAATACGCAGAACGGTGCCCCCTCTTCACAGGCCGTCGGTTTCATTCATAAATATGTAATAGCTCGGAAAGCGGATGTATGAACGAATTCACCGCAAAGCGCCAAGCCCCAATTGAGTTGCTCCAGTTGTGCCGCTGCTGGCAACACAGCTCGTCCAAATCACCAACTACACTAGTGAGTGGATCGCTTTTGGGAGGCGAAATGCTTTCAAAGTCGTGGAGCAACCAGCTCATCTTTTCTCCAAAACGCATCATACCTCACCTCCTTGTGATCCATTAAATGCTTCGTGTTGTGCATATGATTCCTCGATGCGCTTCCTCTTATTGTAAATGGTTCTTTTAAATATTACTTGGCAGTAGGTTTCTTCTGAGATGACCTGCTTACGATAGGGAACTCCTGAAGCTCATTTGCTTTCGATTCCCTGACCTTTGGTATATTCAATGAATAGAACCAAAAATAGGAAAAAGTGAAACAGAGTAAGATTCTCTTCGGGGTGTACGAAATGCGCGAGAGTGTCACGTATTGGGCCTGTCAAATGTGCTTCTGTACAGCTGGAGTTGCGTAGTTCATCAGAAGTGGCTTGGTTAGAATTTCGAACGTTGGGTGGCGAAAAGCATCCAAAGTCGAGGACACGGATCTCCCCCAAGAGGCCCGTCGCGCGGCAAAGGACGAGTCACAGCGCGTAATGTCTGATATGAGATGTAGTATGGTACACGCTCTTTGACCTGACGCCGAACCGCTATCGTGTGTGCTGCGACTCGTCCTTTGCCGCGTCTGTGTCTCTTCGTTCGCCGCGCGACGGGTTTCTTGGGGGAAACCCTGAGGACACAGGTGATCCCATCGGGCTCTACTGTCCAACCATCACGCGCCGTCAAGAAAATTGATTTCCAGTGCGCAATGATAATCTCGCTGATTAAAGACGAAGCGCTCGTACCCCTAATCGAATAGTTTCTGCTCTTTCCTGGAAGAAAGAATGCGAATGAATAATATAATATAACAGCGTGAAATTGAAATGAGATGGAAGCGTTATGAGTATCAAGAAATCATTAATCTAGTGAAATT